TCAGTCAGAGGACATGTCCATTAAAACAGAAATATCAAAAATGCAAATTATCAATGATACTTGTGGCAATTATTTTGTAGCATATACCAAAAAATGTAAATGCTTATTTTGGATGCTGCCTGGCCCTGGGACATTTATTTCAATCCTGGACAGCATTGAACTAAAATGATCCATTCTTAGAAGCAGTTGTTCTGTGCTTTAGGAAAACCCCAGAAGAACACTCATGTGAGTGGGTTTTTTATACAGTCACGCATCGCATAACAATGTTTCAGTCAACAACAGATCACATATACCAAGGTTGTCCCACAACCTTACAACAGAGCTGAAAAATTCCTATTGCCTAGTGATTTGTGTTACAATTGCCTACAGCAGGGGTCCCCAAACTTTTTGGCACCAGGGACCAGTTTCATGGAAGACAATTTTTCCATGGACAGTGGCTGGAGGGTGGGGAGCGGGGAACATGGAGCTCTGTGGTCCAGTCCCTAACAGGCCACAGACAGGTACCAGACCGAGGTCCGGGGCTTGGGGACCACAGGCCTACAGTACTCAGTACAGTAACATGTCGTACAGGTTGATAGCCTAGGAGCAATAGGCCATATCATTGTATATTAAGCTATACAATCTGGATTTCTATAAATACTGCGCACTCTATAATGTTCACACAACAATGAAATCACCTAACGACACATTTCTCAGAATATACGCCCATCATTAAACGACGCATGACTGTGTTTGTAAAACTTATCAGATAGCAGATGATAATCCCTATCAAAATATAAATATTTTTACATTTAAACTTACAATTTTAATTCAGGAATTAAACAAATAATAATACAAATACATAAACATGTATTTTTAAGACTTTTTGTAAAATCAATACTCTTAAGAGCAAAAACAAAAAGAAAGTACCAAACTAAATTGCATACATAGAGTATTGACTACATAAAGTATAATATATCCATAAAATGGAATCGTAGACTTCCATTGTGAAGAGAGAATGATATTATATAGGACAAGTATTCATCATTAAGCATGTACACCACCAGAGATGTATAGTTAGTGTAAGCCATTTACATTCTAAACATTTATGTAAATATTCAGAAAGTTATATAACTTCCCTTCCTGTTAAGCAAGATAAGTAAGTTCTAAAGATATGCTTTACAAAACTGAATCTTTACTCAACAATACTGTATGGTACATTTAAACATTTGTTAAAAGGGTAGATCTGATGTTAAGTGTTCTTTACCACAATAAAAAAATTTAAATATACACACAAAAAAAGAAATTTGCTGTCAACACAAATTGTTGACGGTAAGTAAGTAATCTTTTTTTTAATTGTTAAAAAGACAATTTATTTTTGGGTTAATAAAAACATACATTACCTACTGATTTACCTACAATTGATGTTACCTAAAGATATAATATAATCATTTAAATCAAAGAAAGAAACATTGTATTTTAACTAAAATTAACGGTATAGAGATCTACTTCAGTTGTATTAACTACTTTTCTATTAACACATGACTTCTACAAAGGATTATACATGAGTGTGTCAACTATAACATATATGGCTTCTTTATATATCTAAATATCATGGATGCATCCTGCAACTCAACATTTTTTGTCCATGATTATACAGGAAATAAATATATTTAACATATATTTCTTGTGATTTGCTGTTCCAGTAATGTTTCCTAACACATCACTGTATCCAAGCCCCCACGTAGTATGATACATTGTGTGTATATTTAAAATTTTTTTAATGTGGTAAGAACACTTAACATCAGATCTACCCTTTTAACAAATGTTTGTGTACAGTACAGTATTGTTGAGTAAAGATTCATTTGTAAATCAGATCTTTAGAACTTATTTATCTTGCTACATAGTGGCTTGGATGTACAGAGTATGACATGCTCTGATAATAATCTGGGATTTCCCATTTGACATGCTTTGGCCAACGGGCCATTGGAAAATGTGATGCAAATATAGGTTTGAAAAGTACTTGCTGACTGATGCGTTGGTTTCTTTTTTTTTCTTTTTGAGACAAGAGTCTCGCTTGGTTGGCCCAGGCTAAGGTGAGGTGCCGTGGCGTCAGCCTAGCTCACAGCACGCTCAAACTCCTGGCTCAACATCCTCTTGCCTCCCAGCCCCCAAGTAGCTGGGACTACAGCATTCGCCACCCCGATGCCCGGCCTCAATATTGTAATATAAAAAAAAAATTAGTGGCCCAATTAGTTTCTTTTATTTTATAGTAAGACGCGGGTCTCGCCCTCCGCTCCGGCTGTTTTCGAACTCCTGACCCTCGAGCCACCATCCGCCCGCTCGCCTCAAGGAGAGCAGGATTAGCAGGCGTGAGCCACCGTGACTGCTTGGTTTTCTTGGACACAGTCATATTATGAAGAAGTCTGCAAGCTACCCTGTTGGTGAGCAAGTGGGCCCTACAGCCAAGAGTCAGCTCAAACCATCAGACATGTAAGCGAAGCATTTTTTTTTTTGTTTTTATTTTTTTTTTATTCGCTTTATTTTTTTTTTTCATTCCAGTTGGCCAATACGTTTTTTGTTTGTTGTTTCTGTTTTTATTTTAGTAGAGACGGGTCTCCCGGTCTCTTGCTGCCGTAGGCTGGTCTTGAAGCTTCTGAGCTCCCAACGTCCACCCCGCCTCGCCCCCCCAGCACGAGCTATAGCGGATTACGGCCGTGAGGCCACAGCGCCCCGGCCAGCGACACAGTTTTAAACCAACCAGTCTCAAAGTACCAGGTGACTAAAGTCTCATTTGTGATCCAGGAAACACTAACTTAGAAACTGAACTGCCTAGCTAAACCCACCCCAAAATGCAGATCCATAAAATGTTGAACAAATACAATGTCTGTGTTTTCTTTAAGCCATGAAGGTATGGTTGGTTCCTTACAAAGCAAATACTAACTGATACATTTAAGATATTGAATTCAATATGTTTTAACAAGATTATGTGGGGAAGAAAGCCTTCAATCATGTGTCAAATACAAAAAATTCAATCACATGTAGATGTTCTGAAATAATGCATTTCAACTGGATGGACTTCACTGAGGTGACTGGTGCTAACAGAGGTCGTGTGAATCACACAAAGCAATTGTTTGTACATCAGAACACTGTGTTTTAAGGTTTTTACACATAAAAAAGTCTGTTTTCTTTAAAAAACATACAACACTTAAAAATAGTTTGTTACTTGTAAGTGAGCATTGGGTCGTATTTTATTACATTTTAAGAAATTAGTTTGAAGCAGCAGCATGATGTGGTCTTATTTTCTCATTTTATTTTATTTGGGGGGGGCGGGGGCGGGAGCGGGGGGACAGAGTCTCGCTTTGTTGCCCAGGCTAGAGTGAGTGCCGTGGCATCAGGCTAGCTCACAGCAACCTCAAACTCCTATACTCAAGCGATCCTCCTGTCTCAGCCTTCCGAGGAGCTGGGACTACAGGCATGTGCCACCATGCACGGCTAATTTTTTCTATATATATTAGTTGGTCAATTAATTTCTTTCTATTTTTAGTAGAGACGGGGGTGGGGGGGGGGGGGGGTGGTATCACTCTTGCTCAGGCTGGTTTCGAACTCCTGACCTCGAGCAATCCACCCATCTCGGCCTCCCAGAGTGCTAGGATTACAGGCGTGAGCCACCGCGCCCGGCCCTCTCATTTTAAATCCTGTAAAATAGGCTTCTATTATTTTCTCACAGAATTTATGATTTTCAAGAACAGATTACTGGCCGGATTACAGGCGTGAGCCACCTCGCCCAGCCCTCTCATTTTAAATAATGTAAAATAGGCTTCTATTATTTTCTCACAGAATTTATGATTTTCAAGAACAGATTACTGACGTTAAGTGGGAACATTCATGTTTCCTCAAAGGAAACCCTCTGAGGTCACATAATCCACAGTAAGTGTTGGGAATAAAAAAGGATAGGGTTGTTGAAGGCACGATATTTTAAAGCAATGTTTATTCTAAATTGACTTTACTGTCATAAAATTAATCTCAAATATAAACAAACACTTGTTTTAACTTAACTGACAAAAGTAGTAGATAACACTAGCCAAAAAGTCAGACTGCCTACACATCTTCAAATCATGTGACCCTGGGCAAGTCAAATCTCTTCAAATTCAATTTTGTCAACTTCCTTATAAGGTAGAAATACCTTGGCAAACCCTTCTTGAACTACCAGGAAGAACTTTCAGGAAAGAGGGAGCATCAGTATATATCTGTAGATGCCAAATTTGATAGATTAGGTTTATCCTTTTTCTTTTTTTGCCCCAAATGTGTTCACAGGAATGACAGACTAGGTTAAAGAGAGCTCAGAAACTGGAAGCAATGAGGGGAGACTGAAGGAATGGGACTGTGTTTAGAGAGCACTGTAGCCAGATTATCTCAGATATGATAGGTTATTCCTCTACCCCAGACCACACCATCAAGCCTCCCCCAATAGGTTACATCCCCTAGGTGCTTGCCTATCCTCAGATAAAAGTCAGCCTAAACCTTCCAATGGCACTCAGTCTTTGATAGCTATTGAATGAGGGGTTATCAACCAAATTTTGTGCATCCTACGGAGTAGGATCGATAACTGCTTTGGCCAAGCAAATCTAGAATCTTCACCTTTCTGTGACTCTTTTGCCTTTGCTCTGAAGTGCTAGTGAGAGGGCTCAGGTCAAAGGGGTGTTCTTTCAGGTGGGATTCCCATTTATAGAGTGCTCTCCTTCAAATTCTGTAACACCTACTTTATTAGAAAGAAAACCAGGACCATCATCCAGTATCCCAATCTTCCTGGTGAAACGCACGGTCCCTATAAACCAGGTCTTGCAGAAACTTCTGTAAACTCAAACCAAGGGCGCTTAGCAGGCAGGCTACACTGCAGAAAGGGACCACGAACTTCACGTGCTGAAGAGACACCACAAGACCCCACGAGTACAACTGACACACTGTAAGACTCGGTCGGTACACACTTCACAATTATCCCGCTGGGAATTAGGGGGCATTTCACTAGTACGGTTAACGTGTTCCCGGTACAGACGGGTAAACTGATCTCCACACAGGTAAGCACCCGGCTCCCTCAGGACAGCGCCGGCCCTGAACGCCCTCACAGAGCTGTCACTCACCGTCTGTGGAAGCCGCCCCTGCCGCCATCTTGGAACCCACCTCCCCTTCCCGGAGCTTCTAGAACACTCTTTCCTACCCTGGGAAGCCCACACCGGCCCTTCTGGAAGTGCGCCATCTGCACGCTGTCGAAGGCTCAGCCCGAATCGCCCAACCTGCTCAAGTCTACGTCTCGCGCCCGTACGTCAGGCCGCGCCCGCCTCAGAGCCACCCACCTTTCTGCTCCCACCAAGCGGTGACACCCATCCCGCCTCCCTGAGGTATCGCTAGGCCCTAAGGCTTCTCTTTCACCCTCGCACCAACCTTCAAGGACAGAGAAGACAGCCCCAGCCTGGCCCAGCACCGACTCCAGAGTCGCAGCGTCTGGAACATGCGGGAGGAAGATGACAGGAGTGGGCAGCGCGGCACATGCGCCTAAGTAAGTAGTCCTCACACAAGATTCTGTGAGCTTCCACTTTGGACGTTGTTAATTTGCTTGTTTTATACGTGGATATTCCTTTCATAATCCACAAAAAAATAAAGATGTTTTAAAAATATAAAAAGGCAATATAACAGGCCGGGCGCGGTGCCTCACGCCTGTAATCCCAGCACTCTGGGAGGCCGAGGTGAGCGGATCACTTGATGTCAGGAGTTAAAAGACAAGCCCGAGCAAGAGCAAGACCCTGTCTCTACTAAAAATAGAAAGAAAAAAAAAATTAGCCAGGCACTTGAGATGAGGAGTTAAAGAGCAGCCTGAGCAACAGTCAGGAACCCGTCTCTACTAGAAATAGAAGAAAAAAAAAAAAGAAAAACAGCCTCTACTTAACATAGGGGGGAAAAATTAGCCGGGCATGGTGGTGCGCCCCTGTAGCCCCAGCTACTGGGGAGGCTGAGGCAGGAAGATCGCTTGAGCCCAGGAGTTTGAGGTTGCTGTGAGCTAGGCTGATGCCACTACACTCTAGCCTGGATGGCAGAGCAAGACTGTCAAAAAAAAAAAAAAAGGAACACCAAGGAGCAAAGTTAAGTAATATCTGAGTCCCAAAGAAGGAGGATAGGAGTCATAAGTGAGATGGCAAGATGTTGATGAGGGTTATGCACATTAATTTATAGTAGGGCCTTCTAGTTTTTAATTATATTAATTCTGGCCGGGCGCTGTGGCTCACGCCTGTAATCCTAGCTCTTGGGAGGCCGAGGCGGGCGGATTGCTCAAGGTCAGGAGTTCGAAACCAGCCTGAGCAAGAGCGAGACCCCGTCTCTACTACAAATAGAAAGAAATTAATTGGCCAACTGATATATATATAAAAAATTAGCCGGGCATGGTGGCGCATGCCTGTAGTCCCAGCTACCCGGGAGGCTGAGGCAGAAGGATCACTCGAGCCCAGGAGTTTGAGGTTGCTGTGAGCTAGGCTGACGCCACGGCACTCACTCTAGCCTGGGCAACAAAGAGACTCTGTCTCAAAAAAAAAAAAAAAAAAAAAAAAAAAAATTATATTAATTCTATTTTGTTATTTAACTTGTCTTTAAATAACCAAAGAAGATACCTTTGTAAGTCTTTTGGCACCCTCTTTTGGACAGTCTAATTATTTCAAAACCGAAATCTGTTTCAATGAAATGGATTTCTGAGTATGTTATAGGCAAATTGAAATCAGACACTTTTTTATATTTGGGGTTTTTTTTTAATTAATAGACTTCATTTTTAGAAGTTTTAGATTTGCAGAACAATCAAGCAGTTAGTGCAAAGTTCCAATATACTTTCCTCCCCCACAGTTTCACCCCATTGTTAACACTTAGCATTATTGTGGTACATTTGTTAATGAAACAATATTAACACATTGGTATTAACTAAAATCCACAGTTTATAATAAGGTTGTACATTTCTATGGGTTTTGATGTATCCACCATTATAATATCACAAAAAATAGTTTCACTGCCCTAAAACTCCCATGTTTCACCTCTTCATCCTTTCTCCCTTCTCCCCTAACCCCTGCTAACCACTGATTTTTCTGTCTCTATAGTTTCATCTTTTCCAGAATAACATACAGTGGAATAATAAAATATATATCCTCTTCAGACTGGCTTCTTTAACTTATCAATATGCATTTAAAATTCTTTCATATCGTTTTGTGGTTTAACAGCTCATTTCTTTTTGTTACTGAATAATATTCCATCATATGGGTGTACCAAAGTTCGTTGATCCATTCTCTGGTGAAGAACATCTTGACTGCTTCTGGTTTTGGGCAATTATGAATAATGCTGCTATAAGCATTTGTACAGGGTTTGGGGGAGGGACATAAATTTTAACTCATTTCAGTAAATACTGAGTAGCATGGTTACTATATCATATGGTAATACTATGTTTAGCTTTGTAAGAAACTGCCAAACTGTCTTCCAAAGTGACTATGCCATTTTATCTTTACACCAGCAATAAATAAGAGTTTCTGTTCTTCATCCTCACCAGCTTTTAGTATTGTGAGTTTTGGATTTTAGCCATTCTATTAGACATAGTGATATCTTATTGTTGTTTTAATTTTCAATTCCCTAATAACATGACCTCAGCATATTTTCAGATGCTTATTTGCTATTTGTCTATATCTTCTTTGGTTAGGTGTCTGTTCAGGTCTTGGCCCATTTTTAATTGAGTTATTTTTGTATATTTAAGAGTTCTTGGCCAGGCATGGTGGCTGGATTACTCCTGTAATCCTAGCACTCTGGGAGGCCGAGGAGGGAGGATTGTTTGAGCTCAGGAGTTTGAGACCAGCCTGAGGAAGAGCGAGACCCCGTCTCCACTGAAAATAGAAAGAAATTAGTAGAACAACTAAAAATATATAGAGACAAAATTAGCCGGCCATGATGGCACATGCCTGTAGTCCCAGCTACTTGGGAGGCTGAGGCAGGAGGATTGCTTGAGCCCAGGAGTTTGAGGTTGCTATGAGCTAGGTTGATGCCACGGCACTCTAGCCCGGGCAACAGAGTAAGACTCTATCTCAAAGAAAAAGAGTTCTTTGTATATTAGGATGCAAGTTCTTTATCAGATCTCTGTTTCGCAAATATTTTTTCTTAATCTGTGGCTTCTCTTTTCATTCTTATATAGTTCTGTGTTTTACATTTAAGGTCTAATATCCTCCAGTTTGAGTTCATTTTTGTGAATGGTGTAAGGTGTCTGTCTAGACTCTTTTTTTTTTTTTTTTTTCACATGGATGGCTGACTGTTCCAGCACCATATGTTGAAAAACGGTCTTTTCTCAATGAATTGCTTTTGTTCCTTTGTCAAAAATCAGTCAACTCAAAATTGGTGTGAGTCTATTTCTGGGTTCTTTATTTGGTCTTGTTGATCTACTTATCTATTCTTTTGCTAATACCATGTTTTCTTGATTGCTGTAGCTTTTTTTTATTACCTCATATTATGGGGGTACAAATATTGTTAGGGTTACATATCTTGCCCTTGCCCCCCACCCCCCACCCCACTATGCCAGAGCTGCAAGCATAGTAAGCCATGAAGTGGTGTCAGTCCTCTGACTTTGTTCTTCAGAATTGTATTGGCTCTCCCAGGTCTTTTGTCTTTCCAAAAGAATCTATTTGTCTATAGCCACAAAATATCTTGCTGGGATTTTTTTTTTTTTCTTGCTGGGATTTTTATTGGGATTATGTTAAATCTAAAGATCAAGATGGAATAATTGATATCTTAACAATATTGACTGTTGAGTCTTCCTATTCATGAACATGGATATCTCTCCATTTATTTAGATCTTCTTTGATTTCTTTCATCAGAAATTCATGGTTTTCTTCAGACAGATAGACCAAGGGAAAATAATATAGAACCCAGAAATATAAATCCACAAATATGCAGTGAACTTATCTTCAACAAAGGTGCCAAGAACATACAGTGGGGAAAGGACAGTCTCTTCAATAAGTGGTGGTGGGAAAACTGGATATCAATATGCAGAAGAATGAAACTAGACCCTTATCTCTTGACATATACAAAAATCAAATCAAAATGGATTAAAAACTTAAATCTAAGACATGAAACTACTAGAAGAAAACATTGGAGAAATGCTTCAGAACATTGATCTGGGCAAGGATTTCTTGAGTAATAATATTCCCAAAGCGCAGGCAACCAAAGCAAAATTGGACAAATGGGATCACATCAAGCTAAAAAGCTTCTGCACAACAAAGGAAACAACAAAGTGAAGAGACAACCCACAGAATGGGAAAAAATATTTGCAAACTACTCATCAGACAAGATCTTAATAACTAGAATCTATAAGAAGTTCCAACATCTCAACTGGAAAAAAATCAAATAATCTGATTTAAAAATGAGAAAAGGAGGTCAGGCGCAGTGGCTCACGCCTGTAATCCTAGCACTCTGGGAGGCCGAGGCAGGCAGATTGCTCGAGGTCAGGAGTTCAAAACCAGCCTGAGCAAGAGCAAGACCCCGTCTCTACTATAAATAGAAAGAAATTAATTGGCCAACTAATATATATAGAAAAAATTAGCCAGGCATGGTGGCGCATTGTCTGTAGTCCCAGCTACTCGGGAGGCTGAGGCAGCAGGATTGCTTGAGCCCAGGAGTTTGAGGTTGCTGTGAGTTGGGCTGATGCCATGGCACTCACTCTAGCCTGGGCAACAAAGTAAGACTCTGTCTCAAAAATAAATAAATAAATATAAAAATGGGGAAAAGATCTGCATAGACATTTCTCAAAAGAAGATTATAAATGGCCAACAGGTATATGAAAAATCCTCAACATCATTAGTCATCAGAGAAATGCAAATCAAAACTACAATAAGATACCATCTCACCCCAGTTAAAATGGCTTTTATCAAAAAGACAGCCAATAATGAATGCTAGCAAAGATATGGAGAAAGAACTCTCATACACCATTGGTGGGAATGTAAATTATTGCAACAACTGTGGCGAATAGTATGGAGGTTCCTCAATAAACTAAAAATACCACTACCACATGACCCAGCAATCCTACTGCTGGGTATATATCCAAAGGAGGTGAATTCAGTATATTGAAAAGATATCTGTACTCTCATGTTTATTGCAGCACTATTCACAATAGCCAAGATTTGGAGTCAACCTAAGTGTCCATCAGTGAATGAATGGATAATGAAATTGTGGTACATATACCAAAGGAATATTACAGAGACACACAAAAAAATGAAACCCTGCCATTTGCAACAACATGGATAGAACTGGAGAACATCATGTTAAGTGAAATAAGCCAAGCACAGAAATAAAATGTCAGAATAAGAAATTTCTCAAATTTAACCTCTCCCCAATAAAAGCAATTTAAAAACTGATGAAAATTGTCAGAAACAACTTTTTCAGATCTCTGTAAATTAATCAAAGGCTTGTAGCAACCAAGGAGCATTTATTCAAGAAAAATTGGCTGAACAGTCATAAAAATAGAAAGCTTTGTGGTGTTTTAACTTAGCCTAGCAGCATCCTCCACTGTCTGTCTCGCCAGTAATAGCCTTGGGAACCAACACCCTGCATTCTGGTACCAGAGGGAGCAAAAGACATCATCAAGAAATACAACCCACAGGATGGAAGAAGATATTTGCAAATCATATGTATAATAAGGGCATAGTACCCAAAATATATAAATAACTTATAATTTAATAATAAAAAGACAACTCAAAAAACGGGGAAGGGTTCAAATGGACATTTCTCTCAATAGTTATTTAGATAGATATATAGAGATAGCAAATAAGCATATGAGAACATGTTCAACATCATTCTTTAGTCATTAGGGAAGTGAAAATCAAAACCACAATGAGGTACCCATTCATACCTACTAAAATGGCCATGATTTTAAAAATGGAAAATAAGAAGTGTTAGCAAGGTTATGGAGAAATTGGAGCCCTTATACATAATACATACATTGCAGGTGGAGATGTAAAATTACACAACTTCTGTGAGAAAGTCTGGATCTTCTTCAAAGAGTTAAACATACGGTTACCATATGATCTAGCAATTCCACTCCTATGTATACACTCGAGAAATGAAAATAGGCCAGGCGTGGTGGCTCACACTTAATAATCCCAGCACTTTGGAAGTTCAAGGCAGGAGAATTGCTTGAGCCCAGGAGTTTGAGGTTGCTGTGAGCTAGGCTGACACCACAGCACTCTAGCCTGGATGACAGAGCAAGACTCTGTCTCAAAAAAAGAAAAGAAAAGAAAAAGAAAACATGATAAGTGAAAGTAGACACAAAAGAACACTTATTATTTGACTCAGTTTATGTGAAATATGCAGAATAGGCAAATCCATAAGGACAGAAAGTTCAGTAGTGGTTTCATCTTTTTGAGTGGATAAAAATATTCTGGAATTAGATTGTCAAGGTGGTTGCACAATCTTGCAAATATACTCAAAACCACTGAATCGGACACTTTAAAATGGTGAATTTTATGGTGTATAATTTACATCCTACATTTTTTACAAAATACATACAATTAAACCAAATATTGCTACTGATTCCAAAAGCCTGTCCTTAAGCATAGGACAAACAAGCTACATTAATAAGAATGAGAAAAACACCAGCACCACGGCTCCTCTGATTTTGACACATATTCTCAATCTTTCATAAGTCCAATAGCATTGCCAATAAAGCATTTTCATTTTAAGCTTCATAATAAGCTGGTCCATTGTTGTCATCATTCCTCTTCTGACATGTGATTTTATTTTATTTCTACAACATAGTGAATTTTGATAGATCACAGTAATTTCAATCCATAAGGATCTTTCAACTGTAGGAGTGAATTAGAAAGATATTTTTATATTGCCTATTTGAGATAACAGGTCCGAGAACCCTGCTTCAGGCGAAATACATCAAAAGAATGAACTGAAGGTTAAGTTCCCTTTTAGATCTCAATTTTTATAACATCACAAAAATTCTTGCCTGAAAGCAGTCGAATTATTCAACTGCAAGACATTCTATATTCACTCCATCCCGCCTGGGGGAAGAACAAAGTCAAGAACTGGAGACACCTGTAAGGTGGAGGCACATTCATCTTCTCATTATGCCTGTGTGAGTCTCCAGTCCCTGAATATAACACCAGTACCCTCCAAGAGGAAATGCAAGTAAAAGCTTTTCGGAAAGCTTTCTATTATGTCCTATTTGCAAAGGTAATTCTCACGTGAAAAGAAGCAATAAGAAATTCAAGTAATGAAATCTAAATACCATGTAAAACAATTATTACCATTTTATCCTATCCAAATCAGTCAATTAAATGGAACTATTCCTCTAAATTAATTTTAGATAGCATTTAATTCCAACTTGATAAAAAAGTTATTTTGTGTGTATACTTGTTTCTATGCAAAAAGTTTCTTGCTGTGATTATGAATCTTCCAACAAAAAGGATGCTGAGAACTTTGCCTCTAATGCTGTTTATTGTTGAGCAGTATTTGTACTCAGTCTAAGGTGGCTCCATAGGGCCCCCAAAGGTGTTTGTTTATTTTAACTACCCAGAGATCCTAATTATAAGATAATTTCAAATATAACAGAATTCACTGATATGTTATTCAGGAGCAACTTTGATGACAAATTTATATATGAACAGGTCCTTCTTGGCTTCCGTCTGTCTTCTGCCAGGGCTGGTCCCGTGCCACGCAGGCAGAGTCCCTGGGGTTGTGCAACACTGTGGTACTGCTTAACAGATTCTTCTTGATATTGATGATGATGACAATGGACATGACATCAGGTACCCTTACACACTCTTATTTATTCACATAATCAATAAGTTCGTATTGATGACTCAATTTATGCCAGGACCTATCTGGGCACTGGTGACACAATGACGAACAAGAAAGATAAGGCCCCTGACCTCGAGTAGTTTTACATTTTAGTGAAGGGAGATAGAAAATAAACATAGCATAAGCAAGGCCAAGTGTGGTGGCTCGTGCCTATAATCCTAGCACTTTGGGAGGCCAAGATGAGAGGATCACTTGTGACCAGGAGTTTGAGACCAGTGTGTAATCAGCTAAAACTGGCCACAATTCTGATATTTCACTATGAAAAATCATTTTGAAGTTTGTCTGGAAGACAGAATTTAAGAACTATGAATCCTGAAATATCCCACTGAACTGTTGATAACACCATCACAAATAGAAGTAAGAACTGGGATGCAATTTTCCAATCGACAGATTCACAAAGTCAAAACACAATTGCAAGGAGGGGGAAATTAGCTGCAAATAGGTCCAGGTATAAAGTATTTACAATCATTACTCTGAAGACATCGATTTTAATATTTCCCATGGTAGTAACTAAGAGACAAACCTTCACTGAATTTGTATAATGTCTTTTATGTAGACAGTGCCATTTTTAAACAGTAATTTATAAGTTCCTGCGAGAAAGGTAACTGCAAAACCAAGCTAAAAGGTGACATCTTTCTTGCTTTACTTGGGAAACTCAGCTTCTTGAGTGAAGTATCCATGTTCATTGGGAAGACTAATGATTGGGCCAAGAAATGGAGAGACAGATGCCAACTCGAGTCGTTTCAGGCAACTTCTGCGATACTGGGGCAGATAACACAGGTCAAATGTTCCAGTGTGCCTCTGTTCCTCATGTGCCATTTTGGTTTTGCTCTTGGATTTTTCTCAGATTGCATATTTGAGACGGATACTAACGACAGCTAGATGGGTTCTCCCTAAGGACATCTCCCCTCCTCCCTCCAGTCCCATCTCCTCTCATCCATCTTTCAGATATGATGTAGTTTCTCTCACTACTCTCTGTCAGACTGTCCTCCAGACTCTGCCCCACATTCTCTCTTCTGCTCCATCCCACTCACTCGAACTCCATCTGCAGGACTCAAGTGAGATGTCAGTGTTTCCAGGAAGCTGTCTTCCTGGGCTGGGATTTATTTTGTTAATTTACAAGAGGCAAAAATGAAATAAATGTTGTTCTTTTGAACTAGACTTATTATCACAGTCTTACTGATTTCTGCTCTGATTCTTTCCCAACAGACAAGAACCTCGTGTTTGGTCTCTGTGTGCTCCACTGCTGCCCACACTCTGCAGCCTGTCCATGCTGTAGCCAGAGTCTCCAAAGGAGGCACATCTACCCCACATGCGCAGGACGAGCCACTGGTGAGGAATAAAATAGTATGTCTCTGTTTAGCACTCATTCTATATTAGTAAATAAGAAATAAATTAGACCTGCAATGTGTACTTCGGAGATTGACACTGGCGATCTTACTCCATTCATGTGTGAAATGGTTGTGCAACACATTCAGTATGCCAGGCGTCTCAAGGAGATAGTGAAAGCTCACTGAGATGTTCACATTTCTTGAAACGAACAAGAGAACAGAAAGACTAAAATGTCATCTACACCACTGTAAGCTCTTAACTTAGCTCCATAATGACATAAAACACTGACCTAATCAGATCTGACATCTAACCAGCAAAAAAAATTCAAAATTGCCAACACTATCTTAGTGTAACCACACACTTCGGTTTTGTGTATATTTTGTAATCTACACACTGTATTTGCAGAGTGTCATATATGTATCATTTATATCTAACTAGATATAAATATATTGAATGTATACTAAAACATTACACACAAAAGCTGTTCAATCCAAATAGTTTGGAGACTTCAACCTAAAACACCATTTTTATCATATTAATCACTTAATTGGAAACTATCATTTAATCTCACTGGCTACAAGGCATAGTCCAAACTGTTGATGCAACAAGGTTGCCCCCTCACAATGTGGCCTGGCCACTGTCCTGTCCTTATTTCCTACCACTGTGCCTTCTTCTCTGTGCTGGTCTTACATACCAGACACAGATGAAGGTTAATGAATGCCTTCATAAATATATTTAAATCCCTTTCAATGTGGAAAATTTTCCTAACAACTGTATCATTTCTACTACTGGTGCCTAACATATCATAATGTATTTCAATCTATACCATGTATTCTTTTAGGCAAAATATCTTTACAAATTTCACAGTGAAGTAAAAATTCCACAATAACTGATACAGGAATAAAGTGGAGCTCAATAAAACAGACTGGTGTGCCCAAACCAAGACCAAATATATAATTTCATATCTCTCTTAGAAAAACCTAGAAATGTTTGGCCCTGTGCCATGTCCGAAAAGAATCTCAGCTGTATAACACTGCCACCCAGTGGTAGACTTCAAAACATGTAACTCAAAATAATCCTGACTAAACTGTTTCAGAGATATGTAATAGGAGCTTAGTGAAGGAAACCAAAATGTTTCACCCACCCACATATTTCTTTGACGTAGTTCAAGATGGCTATTCAGAGAGGCTGGACGCAAATATAAGCATAGCTAAAAATCTGTCTTTTGCGGGGGGGAGATTTGCATCTGTAGCGAATCTGCGTTGATAAAGCCAGGTTTTCTCTGAGGTCTTCCCTTATCTAGATGTACGAATAATTGACTAAATAAAACTCTGCACAAGCATTTTACCATTGATTCTCTCTGAGGGATGCAACCTATGAGGTTTTGTCTACATAACAAGGTCACCATTGCTAGGCAGACCTTCTCCCCCTCCCATAACTGTCTTGCCACCCTAACCTGATTTACCACCATAACCTGTTTTTGGCCGTGCTCTGAGCCCCCATTTTTTTCACCTCAAGATGGTATATAAGCTGTACCCCATTGGAGGTTGAAGTAATCACTCTGTGATTTTCCCTCCATGTACACTAATATGTTTGTACCCCATTTCTCCTCCTAATCCACCTTTTATCAGTTGCTTTTTTGGTGGACCTTCAGAGGGTGAAGGTGAAGTTTTCTCTTGACCCTTACATTAACCTCTGGCCATGATGGAGTAACAGAGACCTGATTTCCATTCCACCAGAAAAAACAAAAATCGGACAAAATAAATGACACAATGGTTTGCCAGACACTAAACAACGGGCAATAAAGAACAACATGAAACAGGAAACAAAGGTCATGTGAAACGGGAAAGAAAGAAGGTAAGCACTACAGTTGTCCCCAGATTACTGCCTTGAAAGAGATCCCAGGCCATGGTGCAAGGAGAAGGAACCCAGGGGGAGCCTATTGGACTCCCGGAGTTGAGAAGACAGAGCTGAGAGTCCAAGGAGACCCAGGTGGCAGAATACAAGAGACAGAGTAGCAGAAAGGAGACAGCTGCACAGAGAAAGAACCTGGAGATCTGCAGAGGGGCTCCAGCTAACGCACAGCTGGATATGATCAGTATGTGTGTACACCAGGAAAAGAACCACCTGCAAGGATGAGAGGCAGTGCCTGAGCTCACACAGGGTGGGAAAAACTACCTGCTCCTGCCAGCCAAAGTGGAAACCTCAAGATGCATGAGATATTGGGTAGAGTACACAGGATCATGCACCAGTAGGGAGAAATGATTTACCCTAGACTGAGCACTTCTTTGCCTAACAATATTAAAAGCAAGAACCAAAATGATTTAACCCACTTCCAAGTAACGCAGCTGTGTCCCAGAAAAAAGCCCAAGAATATTTATAATAATACCAAAATATCCAATATCCAACAAAGATTTTAGAACTCATAATGTTTGGCATCCAATCAAAAATTACCAAAATGCAAAGAAACAGAAATCTACAACTCATAGAAGAAAACTCAAGAAATCACAATTTATAAGACACAGATGTTACATTAATAATTAGTGGAAGAGAAAAATAAAAGTAATTATAATTATTCCATGCTTTCAAAAAGTTAAGCAGAGACATAGAAGGTATAAAAAAAAATCCCTATTGAACTTTCAGAATTAGAAATAAAATCTACCAGGTATGAGATTAAAAAAAAATACCCAGGATAAAATTAACTGCAGATTAGACATTGAAGAAGAAAAAGTAAGTACGTTTAAAGATAACAATTCAAACTGTATGAAAGGAAATGGAAAGAAAAGAGATTTTTTTAATGAAAAGAGCATCAGTAAGCCATGACATAATTTTACATGGCCTGATACGCATGTAATTAGAATCCCCAAGGAGGTTTAGGGGAAGAGGAAACAAAAATATTTAAAGACAAAGTAGCTGAGATTTTTCTGAAATAAAAGATAACTCCTTTTGAAGATCATGAGGACAAATTTTTTTTTTTTTTTTTTGAGACAGAGTCCTGCTGTATTGCCTGGGCTAGAATGTTGTGATATCAGCCCAGCTCACAGCAACCTCAAAACTACTGGGCTTGGCCGGGCGAGGTGGCTCACACCTATAATCCTAGCACTCTGGGAGGCCGAGGTGGGTGGATCCCTCAAGGTCAGGAGACCAGCCTGAGCAAGAGCGAGACCCCATCTCTACTAAAAATAGAAACAAATTAGTTGGCCAACTAAAAATATATAGAAAAAAAAATTAGCCGGGCATGGTGGTGAATGCCTGTAGTCCCAGCTACTCGAGAGGCTGTGGCAGTAGGATTGCTTGAGCCCAGGAGTTTGAGGTTGCTGTGAGCTAGTAGGCTGACACCATGTCAAAAAAAAAAAAAACTCCTGGGCTCAAGTGATCCTGCCTCAGCCTCCTGAGTACCTAGGACTACAAGTGTGCACCACTATACCCGGCTAATTTTTTTCTTCTTCTATTTTTAGTTGCCCAGCTAATTTCTTTCTATTTTTAGTAAAGACAGAGTTTTGCTCTTGCTGAGGGTGATCTCAAATTCCTACCTCAAGTGATCCCCCGACCTTGGCCTCCTAGAGTGCTAGGATTATGGGCGTGAGCCACCATGCCCAGTCTCAGAAGGACAAGTTTTATCCTCATGAGGAAAAACTGTGTTTCGTATGTATCTGTGTACACTTATATAATACAGTAAATGTTCTTGGGGCTTTTCACATTTTGAGTTCTTAGAAATAAAATATTAATAAAATGAAAACTTACATTTCTTCTTAGAAATAAAATATGAATTTTATTCACATTTTGAGTTCTTAGAAATAAAATATGAATGAAATGAAAACCTACTTACATTTCTTCCTGTAGCACCCAGCCAGTGAGAGCTCTCATATGTTAGAACAGCAGGATTTAGTGATATGTAGATTGTTCTCATATGTGGAATTGAATAGAAAAGCCACCAAAAAGATCTTGGAGATCAGAACAATGTTACAACATCTAACATTAAAATGGAAAGGTAACTGTAAATTATATAATAATAATTCCAATGCTAATGATAGATTAATGACAAATATTACCTTTGAATTATAATTGAATATTATAATGAAAACATATTAATGAATCTCAATTTTATTAAAATTTCTATATATGTGCTTATATTTTTAGCTTAATGTTATGAAATCAATAATAAAATAAGCATATTTTATTAATATAATAATTATGTAGTAGTATTTATTAATATAACTTTAGATTTAAATGAAAGTATTGAATATTATGCTAGTGAATGATAAAATATTAAATTTAATAATCATTTAATGGAGTCCTTTCTAAGTTCTTAATAATATTTATAGAAAAATTACGCATCATTATTTTGGGGGCAATAGAAAAATTGATGCTCATTAAGGTATTGGTATTTTCCAATTAACTAAGAAAAGAAAGTGAATATTCAGAAATGAATGAATTTTTTCAAGTTACATTTTAACATTCTTTTATTGTGCACATTAATGATTCACTCTTTTTTAATTTTAAAAATATAGAATGCTTCACAAATTTGCATGTCATCCTTGCACAGGGGCCAGGCTAATCTTCTCTGTATCGTTCCAATTTTAGTATATGTGCTGCCAAAGCAAGCATTGATTCACTCTTTACTCACGAAGAAATCCCCACTATTTGTTAGTAATCTTGTTCAGAAAATTTAAGGTATTCACAAAATCAACTCCAACTCCACACTTTATTTGGATATTCATGCCACCATCCACTAGGCTATTTTATTTGAAAACTTGTGGCCTGTGTCATATATATATATATATATAGAATGTTGACAACTGTTAATACTCATTAACATTTAAATTAATTAATTTCATAATGTGCTGCATTTCAAATTTCACTTTCATTTTATGCAATTTTGCAAAGTTAATTGTATTTCTCAAAGTTTTTTCTGTATGTTCACTTATACAGATAGTGAAATTATTTTATGAACTTTTCTGTAATTCATTTTATTGGATTGTATCCTCTTGTTTTATAATACCTTTAATGAGATTAAATTCCATATCACATGGCCAAGTGCAGTGGCTAATACCTATAATCCTAGCACTCTGGGAAGCCGAAGTGGGAGGATTGCTTGTGCTCAGGAATTTGAGACCAGCCTGAGCAAGAGCAAGATCCCGTCTCTCCTAAAAATACAAAAAATTAGCCGGGTGTGGTGGTGCGCTTCTGTAGTCCCAGCTACTTGGGAGGCTGAGGCAGGAAGATAATTGAGCCCGAGTTTGAGATTGCTATGAGGTAGGTTGATGCCACGGAACTCTAGCCCAGGCAACAAAGCAAGACTCTGTCTCAAAAAAGAAAAAATTCCATATCACAAATTTAACCTTTCTCAAGTGCACAAACAATGGTTTTTAATATAAAAATTAATTTTTATATTAAAGTTGTTATATGCAAAGTTATTCAACTCTCACAACTATCTAATTTCAGAATTGTTTGTAATGGCTACAAATAATCCAGTCATAAAATCAGCCCCTTTAATTTATATTAATATATGCTTTGGCTGTGCCAAAGAAGAGGCATTGTTCTGTAGTGTATGAATGAACACAGCATGAAGAGCTGTAACAGTCTTCAAGTCTTCAATACATGATTATTTTCTTTATGTGCTTGTGACATGGGAATCCACACATTTTTTACATGAAGCAACAGAGTATGTCATAGAGAAAGTAAGAAGCACGTTTATATTTTTGTTCCACTTTTTTGGTAGTCTACAAAATGAGTTGTAATCAAATTCTAATATAACATTTTGATATATTATTATTTAAAATTTGATTTAGATTTAATATTGATTTAGATAAACAGTTCTATGTTCCAGTTCTATGCTAGAAGGAATCACCCACAGACATTTATTAATTAATAACATTGTTTCTTATCATTCTTTTTCTTAAGTAAAATTGAAGAACTAGAGTAGAAATTCTGGGAAATGGAAAGAAGTTTTATACCCTCCTAGAGGAGAAAAAAGCCCTCAGATCTGAAACAAGTATGTATACAATTTGTAAAAGTCCATTATTAATCCACAAGAAAATTTGTCTCGAGGACAGTCAGCCCACTGTGTGCAGGGGAGAGTGACTCACACAGTCATCCTGAAACCCAAAAGATATGAAATGATTGTGATCCCAAACACACACACACCCTGTCATATTGGATCGAATGTATACACTGTCATTTTACTCTATTTCTGTATTCATTGCTTTAAGTATTTATTTTCAGTGTAAAATCAAAGTGATTTTGTTTTGAATTAACTGCATTTTCAGACATTTGGGCAGTTTCTCAGACAGAGTTCGTTGATGTGAAAGGAGGGGTATGTGGCAGTATCAAAAGGTAGGGCCTTTAGGAGGTGATGGGATCATGAGGGTAAATCCAATGGACTAAAATATCAATGGGTTGTTACAAAAATGGGACTGGTGGCTTTCCAAGCACAGGAAGAGAGGCCTTATCAAGCAGGTTAGCACCTAAGCCACCTCACCTGGTGATAGTCTGTGCCAGCTCAAGACTCTTCAGGGAGTGCCCATTGCCAAGAAGGCTTCACCACATGCAGCCCCTCAACCTGGGACTTCTCAGCCTCCATAACCATAAAAATAAATTTCTTTTCTTTATAAATTACCCACTTTCAGGTATTCTGTTATATGCAACAGAAAACAGACTGATAGAGAACTCAAAACCCAAAGCCTCTGTAACACACTCAAAGAATCTGGCAGATTCAGATGATACTTCTCTTCATCAAGACATCAAGAACAAAAGCCCCTATTATAAGCCAAGCTACACTGATCTTACACAGTTGCAAAAAAGACTGGATCACTGTAATAAACATTTTTTCTTACAATATGGAGGAAGTGGGGCCACCTCACCCACTGAGCCATAGCAATACCAAGATGCAGCTGAGGAGGTGTTTTGAGGGAGTGCTCCCTTTACTGAAGATGCTTTTCCTCCCTACTGGGTGAATTTCTACTCCCTGGGTGAGCTGCCCAGACTAGATCCTTGGGTTTCCCTTTCCTTGCTTAGCTTCATTTGTAGGGATTGTCAAATGACAAAATGACAACACATTTATAGATATAATTAACTTTCATTCATGATGCAAGAATTCGAGCAGCCTCCATTCTACAAAATAGAATGGGACTTCCCACTGGACAGTAGTAGAGCAGTGAGTTTTGTAAAGGGGGTGCAAGGGGACAGAACAATAGGGAAAAATGCTGGTTGATTAACATCAGGTACTTTGGATTACTTTTTTGTAGCAGTTAAAGCAGAGGGGACTTTCTTATCAGGCTTCCTCATGACTCAGGTAGACTGAAAAATCGGTCTGTTTGGGGATCTGTCTCCTTCCTTAAAGTTTCAATGTTGTTAATGTGGCATTTAGCATGAGGGACGCCATGTTGGTTTGGTCTGTTCTGTTGGGGAGTAACGCAGGAGCTTAGTCCAAAACAATGGCCTGCCATAGTTTTGTTTCACAGGGCATTAGAGACTATAGCTCTCCTGAGATTTCACCATCTGTGTAGGATCCAGTAGGGTGAAATACACAGAACATTATTTTTACCCAAACAAATCATATTTTTGGTTTAAGCATGTGACTTTCCAGTAATAGCACACTCATACACTGACGTACAAAAGTACACACAAATAAAGATCAGTTAATCTACCTTACTGTATTCACTTTCAGGTGCACTTAGCCTCTCTTTCAATTCATTCTAGCTAATTTTTCTTTCTCTTATGTTAATTAAAATATCTTATGCTTATCAGTTTTCTATGTCAGAAGCACACAGTTTTTTTCTGTGGCAATACTGTATATAGGAATACTTTCTTGAAATGTTAATAATGGGCTGACGAGGTGACTCACACTTATAATCCTAGCACTCTGGGAGGCTGAGACAGGAGGATCACTTGAGGTCAGGAGTTCAAGACCAGCCTGAGCACGAATGAGACCCTGTCTCTACTAAAAATAGAAAAATTAGCCGGCATCGTGGCACATGCCTGTAGTCCCAACTACTCAGGAGGCTAAGGCAGGAGGATTGCTTGAGCCCAGGAGTTTGAGTTCAATTTTACGGGTCTTGCGGTGAGCTCAGATGTCAATAAATAGCATTTGCGGCGCGGGCGCTTGGTGGCTCACGCCTGAATTCCTAGCTCTCTGAGGGCCTAGGCGGGCGGATTGATCAAGGTCCGGAGTTCTAACCAGGCCTGAGCAAGAGCGAGACCCTGTCTCTACTATAAATAGAAAGAAATTAATTGCCAACTAATATATAGAGAAAAAAATTAGCCGGCATGGTGGCGCGATGCCTGTAGTCCAGTACTGTGAGACTGAGGCAGCAGGATTGCTGAGCCCAGGAGTTTGAGGTTGCTGTTGAGTAGGGCTTGGATCGCCAGCACTCACTCTAGCTGGCACAAATGAACTCTGTCAAAAAAAAAAAAAAAAGAAATAGTAGCATTTTATCGTACACCTGAATATTTGTATTTTTTCTCCTCTCAGCCCCAACCATACATGCGTGAAGCATGCACTCCTCTTGGATTTTATTATATATGAGTATTTTGTATTCTGTCTAAAAATAAAATAAAATTATAATAAAGATATATGTATTTGTTAGAATGAATTAATGCAATTCTATGCTTAACAAGATGTGACACACATCCAGTTTCATTGTGGCATTTTTACACTATTTATATTTTTTGTTAAAAGTGTGTCTTCAGGTTTTATTCTATTTAAATGAGCATAAAATCTATCTGTATGCCTTACCTTGTTGTTCATACTTTTTTCCCCCTGTTGAGCAGAAATTCCTTTCTGAGCTCATTTCATTTTCAATTGTACCAGGCACCAGTGGCCAAAGCACAGAGTCTGATGATATGGTTATATTTTTCCTTACTTTAAGGCACAAGAGACTGGCTCACTTATGCCTTCCAGGTTTTCATGGCAAATTTACAGGGGCATAAAATGAGTTTTTGCTCTTTCTTAGGATTCACAAAAGTTGCATCACTCATAGCCATCAACTAAACTACATTATTATTTTCTTTTGTTATTCTATTTTCTCAAACAATTTGTATGACTGATATAGTCAGGTTCAACCAAGAGAAACAAACTCTGTTTGTCTGAAGAGACTTATTGTAAATAATTGGCTTGTATGACCAGAGTAAGCTAGGTGTGATACCGTGAAATTAATATTTGGTCTTAGTCCCATTCCTGGCATATAACTTCTAAAATCCTTGGAGTGTCCAAAGTAATAGTGTCTTTTGGTATGCTAATGAGTTGGCTGATGGTTGCCTTCCACTAGACAGCTTCAGCATGGGGGCTGGCCCAAGGGAAAGACCAAGGCAGAATGAGAGGGTGGGGCTTTCAGCCCCTCCCCCAAAGCACCCCCATGGCGGGAGAGGGCTGAAGGTTGATTGGATCACCAATGGTCAGTGATTTCATGCCTGTATAGTGAAGCTTCCATAAGAACGCCAAAGGACTGTGTTCCAGGAGGTTCTGAAGAGCTGAACACATGGAGGTTCCTGGAGGGTGGTGACCCCGGAGTGGAGAAGGCACGGAAGCTCCACGAGCCCCCCACATGCCCTGCCCCTGTGCACCGCTTCATCTGTATCCTTTGTGACATCTTTAATAATAAGCTGGTAAATATAAGTGTTTCCTTGAGTTCTGTGAACCGCTCTAGCAAATAAACCAAACTTAAGGAGGGGGTCGTGGGAACCCCAATATATAGCCAGTCAGCCAGAATCACAGGTGAAACAACTTGGGATTTGCAAGTGGCATGGAAAGTGGGAGGCATTCTTGTGGGATCTGACGCTATCTCCAGGTAGATAGTATCAGTAATGAATCGAATTAAAAGATTTTGCTGCAGAATTGATTGATCTGTTGGTGGTGGAGAGAAATCCCTTCCAGGTGCACTTAGCCTCTCCTTCACTTCATTCTGGCTAATTTTTCTTTCTCTTATCTTAATTAAAATATTTTCAGTTTATCAGTTTTCTATGTCAAAAGCATACGCCATTTTTTTCTGTGGTATACTGTATACAGGAACATTTTCTTGAAGTATTAATAATAAAGGAATGATTTATTGGTAGAAAGTTTAATGCAATCATTGCTTTAAACCAAAGATGTGACAACCACAACCCAGGTTTGATTGTTGCATTTTTTAACTTTGTGTATGTATATTTTATAGGAGTTTTTTTTATTTTTTAATTGTTTTTTTGTGTGTGAGATAGAGTCTGACTCTGTCATCCAGGCTAGAGTGCCCTGGTGTCACCCTAGCTCACAGCAACCTCAAACTCCTGGGCTCAAGCGATCCTCCCGCCTCAGCCTCCCAAATAGCTGGGACTACAGGCGAGCACCACCATGCCCGCCTAATATTTTTTCTATGTTTTTCGTAGAGACGGGTCTCACTCTTGCTCAGACTGGTCTCAAACTCTTGATCTCAAGCAATCTCCACTCCACCCTCACCCCCCACCTCCCAGGGTGCTAGGATTACAGGCATGAGCTGCTGAGCCCAGCTTGTATACATCTTTTGTTAGGAAGTGTGTCTCCAAGTTTTTATTTCCTAATTTAAAATGAGCATAAAATCTATCTGTAGGCCTTACCTTGTTGTTCATACTTTTTTTTTTTTCCTGTTGAGCAGCCATTCCTTTCTGAGCTTATTTCATTTTTGATGTACTCAAGCTACAGTGGCCAAGAGCACATGAGTCATGATAGTATAGTGATATTTTGTTTTCCTTACTTCAAGGCCCAAGAGGACTTGGCTCACTTCCTGCCTTCCAGGTTTTCATGGCAAATTTACAAGGGCATAAAATGAGTTGCCTCTTTCTGGTATTCAACAAAGTTTTGCATCACTCATGGCCCATCCCCCAAGACAAACCCACATATATAATTTTTCTTGTTATGTCATTGTCTCAAACAATTTGATGACTGTTATCAGTCAGGGTTCAACCAGAGAAACAAAACCTGTTTGTCTGGAGAGACTTATTGTAAATAATTGGCTTGTATGACCAGAGTAAGTACTCAGGTGAACTGTGAAATTAATTGCGCTTAGTCCCATTCTGGCATATAATTTCTAAACCTTGGAAGTGTCCAAAGTAATAGTGTCGTTTGCTGTAGTGCAAGAGTTGCTGATGCGACGTCCTTTCCACTAGACAGCTGTCGGCGATGGTGGCTACAAAAGACCGAGCGAGGATGAGAGAGGTGGGGCTTTTACCCCTCCCCCGAAAGCTCTCCCATGCGGAAGCTGAAGTTGATGATCACCACAATGTCAGGAATAATAGCAATTTGCCGTGTAATTGAAGCTTCCGATATAGAACGCAAAGGACTGTGTTCCAGGAGCTCTTGAAGAGCTGAATACATGGAGGTCCTGGAGGGTGGTGACCCCGGAGTGGAGAAAGGCACACGAAGCTCCACGAGTCCCCACATGCCCTGCCCCTGTGCACCACTTCATCTGTATCCTTTTGTGACATCTTTAATAATATAGTGGTAAAATATAAGTGTTTCCCTGAGTTCTATGAGCGTCCTAGCAAATAAACCAAACCTAAAGAGGAGGTGTGGAACCAATATATAGCTGGCCAACCAAATCACAGGTGAAACCACTTGGATTTGCAATTGCATGGGAAGTGGGAGCATTTTTGTGGACTGAGCACGTGCAACTGTGGGTCGTAGATAGATAGCATCAAAATTGAATTGAACTAAAGGACACCCAGCTGGTGTGTGCTGCAGAATTGATTGATCTGGTGGTGGTGGGGAAATCCCACACCCTTCCTGGTGACCGGAGGTCACAGACATTTCTGTATGATTGCTGAGTGAGAAATAATAATAATAAACCTTTTGGCTTTTTCTTCCTCCCTCAGACTGCACAAGTCTGAGGTCCCTGGAGCAGGCTGGAACTCTTGGCCATGAGCTGAAGCAGCTGTCAACAGGAAGAATTCTTCTCAGGGAAGTCTCCACTCCGACCGCACACATTTTCTAGATTACAACCCTTAAATCAAGAGATTATGAACTGCAATCACATCTACGAATACCTTCACAGAAACACCTAGATGCATGTTTGAAAAACTGAGGACTGCAGACTAGCCAAATTGACACATAAAACTGATCATATATCATATATATGCAGTAACTAATATGGCCAAACCAAAATAATTAAGAAATAAGAGTATTTGAACTCAATTGGGGACTAAATAAACATTTTTATATACAAAAGAACATTTTTATATATGTACACACACACACACACACTAGAGAGCACAAAATCTAAGTCATATTTGGAACAGTATTATGAAAGAAGTAAAAATCACCTAGTAGAATCTATATTTCCACTAAATCTAATTATGTCATTTCTTTCTAAAGGTGTTACTTAGTGAAGAGATAAATCAACAAGGGTGGGTCACCCTGGGCCTTGGTAAACCTTGTGTCTTTGGGAGCTGCTCGGTTACCCACAGACCCCCCTTGAAGACCAGATCTTCTTCCCAGGATGGAATTGAAGAGCACTTCAAGGGGTAAGTTCCCAACAGCTTTTTGCTCTGTTCTTTGATAATGCCATGTGCTTTCCTTATTTTCCAGAGTTTATAAAAGTTTAGAGCACAGATATGGTTGCAGGGACAGATTGTTGGAGCAGGATCTATTTTTCAGTGATAAATTGTGTCAGGGCATTTGTGGGTGCTTTGAAGTTGGATGCTTGAATTTAAAATGTAAGATGGCAGCCATGAGTCTCATACATGGGTCATCTACCTGAAGTTTTAAAGTTGACATTTTAAGTAGAGAAAAAAAATATGGACCACCATATATGTGTGTGTATATATATATATATAAAATATTTAATTTTATTAAAATGTATTATTTTTTATTAAATATATTTTTGTGTATTTTATTTAACCTTTTCATTCTTTTCATGAGGTTGACTTGTTTCATTTATTTTCATTAATTTTCTTCCTCCCTATTGGTTCCTATTTTCTTTGTAATTTTGTACATTTCCTGTAAGTTCTTAGTTCATTGATGGCCATTTTTCTAATATATGTACTTAAACTTTTATGTGTCCAAATTAGCATGACTTTACCTACATGCATAAAGTAAAAGAATAGAGTAATAATAATATGGACTTACAGGATTTCTGGAATAAATATAAACATAGGCTCACACCACAGTTTTTAACCCATAAATATATCCTTCACACTCCTCTTCCCCTTTTCTCTTCATCAGCCACAGGAGAAAAAGAAACCCGTCGAGACAAGACTATTTATAGCCAGGGTCAAAAGGAGATCCTGAAAGCATGGTTTCAACATGACCCTTACCCTGATAAAGCTACCAAGGAACTACTGGCCAGAGCAATTGGTGTTCCAGAATCTAAAATTAGGGTAGGCATTAGATTTCCGTTTCATTATCTGTCAGACTCAAGATAAAGAGAAAAACTGGGCTCACCACTTTCAGGCAATTCTCTAATGTCAGGTATTTTCCTAAGAAGGTTTTTTTCGTTATGTAGTATTAAAAACAAAATAAAAATAGGAACTCTGTTTATATCTTTTACCAATGGTGGGAATATCATTTGGGCATATTCACTGGCTCAGGCTCTCACAATGGGAGGTAATCGAATCATATTTTGAGATTTAGAACATGCATGAAATTGGGTCACTATGATAATGATGTGGTATCCTTAAATATTGGAATATACTGCAGAAAAATAATATGTAATTATAAGCTAATTTTTTAAAAATGTAATGTCTCCAATGTGATTCATACACACAGTATTTGAAATAAAATTCCATACTGAATTTATTTATTTTTTATTTTATTTTTTTTTTTTTTTTGAAACAGAGTCTCCCTTTGTTGCCCAGGCTAGAGTGCCATGACGTAAGCCTAGCTCACAGCAACCTCAAACTCCTGGGCTCAAGCAATCCTCCTGCCTCAGCCTCCCAAGTAGCTGGGACTACAGGCATGCGCCACCATGCCCGGCTAATTAGTCGGCCAATTAATTTCTTTCTATTTATAGTAGAGACGGGGTCTCGCTCTTGCTCAGGCTGGTTTTGCACTCCCGACCTCGAGCAATCCGCCCGCCTCAGCCTCCCAGAGTGCTAGGATTACAGGCGTGAGCCACCACGCCCGGCCTCCATACTGAATTTTTTTGAATATAATTACTGATGGAAAGCCCAGGCCAGGCGTGGTGGCTCACGCCTGTAATCCTAGCACTCTGGGAAGCCTAGGCAGGAGGATCTCTTGAGGTCAGGAGTTCAAGACCAGCCTCAGCAAGAGGGAGACCCCCGTCTCTACTATAAATAGAAAGAAATTAATTGGCTAACTGAAAATATATAGAAAAAATTAGGGGGACATAGTGGTGCATGCCTGTAGTCCCAGCTACTTGGGAGGCTGAGGCAGGAGGATCGCTTGAGCCCAGGAGTTTGAGGTTGCTGTGAGCTAGGCTGACACCATGGCACTCTAGCCCAGGCAACAGAGTGAGACTCTGTCTCAAAAAAAAAAAAACAGAAAGAAATTAGCCGGACAATTAAAAATAGAAAAAAAATCTGCCGAGTGTGGTAGCACATGCCTATAGTCCCAGCTAATTGGGAGGCTGAAGCAGGAGGATCACTTGAGCCCAGGAGTTTGAGGTTGCCGTAAGCTAGGCTGATGCCAAGGCACTCTAGACCAGGCAACAGAGCAAGACTCTTGTCTGAAAAAACAAACGAACAAAAAAATTTACTGATGGAAAAATGAAACTAAGTTGAATTTTTCAGTTATCCAAAAGATATCTGTAAAGAATATAATTCTATCAGGTGAAAATAGTATTTAAACCAATGAAGATCAACTGAAAATGTGTTTTTAGAGGAAAATAATGAGTTCTGGTTCCTGTATCAAATGTGCGGTCTCCAATAAGTCATTGACTATAAGGGTCTCAGTCTGAGGGGACAGAAGGAGAAAGAAATTTTATCTTTTCATGTATCTGTACTGGATGTGAGAGAGAGAGTTTACTCAAATCCCAGTAAAGAAAGTACATTCTATGCGACTATTGTATAATTGGCTTTGAGAGAAGTACTGGGTCCATTTGCACTGATGGCAAGGATGGCAACATAGGGTGAGATTGCCTCTGCCATAGTGTTCACTAATTTCTTCATTTGTTTTTAGTTTCCATCTGTTCTTAAGATTTCTTAATGGGAAATATTTGATTAATTGATTTAGAAATGAGATATAATCTTTTAGCACCATGCCTAGAATGAAAGGGTGGGTCATCATGTGTTGGTTGTCATTAAGACTCTAAATTGACTGGGTGTGGTGGCTCACACCTGTAATCCTAGCACTGTGAGAGGCTGAGGTGGAAGGATTGTTCAAGGTCAGGAATTCAAGACCAGCCTGAGCAAGAGTAAGACCCCATTTCTACTACAAATAGAAAGAAATGAGCTGGACAGCTAAAAATATATAGAAAAAATTAGCTGGGTGTGGTAGCACATGCCTGTAGTCCCAGCTACTCAGGGGGCTGAGGCAGTAGGATTGCTTGAGCCCAGGAGTTTGAGGTTGCTGTAAGCTAGGCTGATGCCATGGCACTCTAGCCTAGGCAACAGAATAAGAATCTCTCTCAAAAAAAAAAAAAAAAAAAACCTAAATCTTCTCAAGAATTATCAAATAATCAAAATAAAACACTCAGAAATAATTGAAAAGTATGTTGCAATTCTGCCTCTAGTCGTGAGGAAACAAGGACAGAGTTCAGTTCTTTTGGTGCCAACAGTGACAACTTGAAATGTAGGGGTCCCTAGGAGTCTCCTTATCTATTGTTGACTCTGGAGTGAAATAACTAAGAGGAAAGATAGAAATATGGATGAGTGTTCGCCTAGTTCTTTACCATAGCTAAATTTGCTTAAAGTTTTTTCTACGATCAATTCTGTATGTGTTGTGTATTATGAAATGGCATTTCCAGTGAAGAGGTGATGGGAGCCAAGAAAAGACATTGAAGACATAATGCTAGGGGTGCAGGGGAGAGACAGATTTCTTTTGAGAGACCCAATAGTGTCTCTTAAATCAGGAAAATTTACTTTGGATACCATGAAAAGGACTATGAAGGAAATGCTCACTAGAGTACAGATTCATGTGTGGTTCTGAATTGAATGCTAATAGTAACATCATTCCTAGGAAACTACCTTGTCTTTCTCTTATGCATATTAGTCCAAGGGCAAAAATAGTCAAATCCATCTTACTTAATTGGATTGATGTTTAGAATTACAGAGTGACTTGCATGACTTTAACATCTTCTTTTCCCACTTAGTCTTGGTTTAAACAGCACAGAGCAAGACAGAGGCAGCTGAAGTCTGGATACTGCTTAGGACATGATCAGAGCCAGAAGCACAGCCATCCGCAGCGTTGCTGTCAAGGTAAGACCTCTCCAACCCAAATGCAGTTCCTCAGTGAGTCCCATTGAGATTAGAAATTAACTGCATGCTGTGCCCCAATTCTCCATTAAGACTCCTTCGCTTAGGAGCCAGGTAGAGCTTGCTCTGGGCATCCTAGCCTCAGAAATGTAAACATTATCCCATGACTGGCTAGGACAGGCAGGTTCTTAGCAGCGCAGCAGCCTCCTCTTCTGCCACCCCAGGGGGATACAGGGAGAATCCATGTGCTCGGCATGATCTTTACAGGCTTGTGCTTCCAGTGAGAGTGTGAAAACTGCCCTAAATCCCCCTTTTGTTCCTGCATTCTCCTTTATAATACGTACCCAATGAAGACCAGACATTCATCATGAGAACTCAAAGAAACAAACTGGTTGAAGCCTTTGAGAGGAACCCATTCCCCGATATTGATAGCAGGGAAAAGCTGGCTATACAAACAGGAATTCAGGGATCAGAAATTGAGGTAAGTTCTATGTCTGTGGCACCAAATACACCCTGTCTGTAAGTGATTTTGCCCCAAGAGTTGTTAAGGGAAATGTGGGGCTATCTTGGGTTCTCACAGTCCTCAAGGACAAAGATATGGGATGGTAAACATCTGGCACTGCAAGTCACATTCCTGCCAAGGAAGAATTTTAAAAGCAAATTTTTTTTTTTTTTTTTTTTTGAGACAGAGTCTCACTTTGTTGCCCAGGCTAGATAGAGTGAGTGCCATGGCATCAGCCTAGCTCACAGCAACCTCGATCTCCTGGACCCAAGTGATCCTACTGCCTCAGCCTCCCTAGTAGCTGGGACTACAGGCTTGTGCCACCATGCCCAGCTAATTTTTTGTATATATATTTTTAGTTGGTCAGTTAATTTCTTTCTATTTTTAGTAGAGACAGGGTCTCGCTCAGGCTGGTTTTGAACTCCTGACCTTGAGCAATCCGCCCGCCTCGGCCTCCCAGAGTGCTAGGATTACAGGCGTGAGCCACCGAGCCCGGCCTAAAAGCAAATTTTGATGCATCCACTCAGAACCACTGGCAGTAAAAATGTGGGAAAATATGAAAGTTAATACCCATTTTGAGAACACTCTGTTTAGGCTTTCTACAGCATGGCAGTTTTGCAATTATCTGGTCCAATTTGGACCAGATAATTCCCTCTTGTGAGGGATGTCATACACATGGTAGAATATTTTTCAGCATTCCTGGCCTCTACCAACTAAATACCAGTACAGCCACTGCCCACTTCCCCCCTCCCTGTTCCCCTCCCCATTTGTGACAACCAACAAAATTCACAGACATGGTCAAAGGTCCTCCAGCTGAAGGACAAAATCGCCCCCACTGAGTACCTTCATCTACCTAAGTGATGAGGATCATGGTTTAGTGTAGGCGTCCTCAAACTACAGCCCACGGGCCACATGTGGGTGTTTTTGCCTGTTTGTTTTTTTACTTCAAAATAAGATATGTGCAGTATGCATAGGAATTTATTCATAGTTTTTTTAAAACTGTAGTTCTGGGCTTCCAACGGTCTAAGGGACAGTGAACTGGCCCCCTGTTTAAAGTTTGGGTACCCCTGGTTTAGTGTAGGTTAAGTGTTTGCAACTTAGGAAGCACATTCATATACTTACGGCATGGAAACTCTCAAAAACACTTATTTGTGTTTATTAACCTTTGATCTGATTTATTCAGGTGTAAACTATGAATTTTTTTTTTTTTTTTTGAGACAGAGTCTCACTTTGTTGCCCAGGCTAGATAGAGTGAGTGCCATGGCATCAGCCTAGCTCACAGCAACCTCGATCTCCTGGACCCAAGTGATCCTACTGCCTCAGCCTCCCTAGTAGCTGGGACTACAGGCTTGTGCCACCATGCCCAGCTAATTTTTGTATATATATTTTAGTTCCGGTCAGTTAATTTCTTTCTATTTTTAGTAGAGACAGGGTCTCGCTCAGGCTGGTTTTGAACTCCTAACCTCGAGCAATCCGCCCACCTCAGCCTCCCAGAGTGCTAGAATTATAGGCGTGAGCCACCACGCCCAGCTAAACTATGAATTCTTATGAAACTTTGTTTGCTAACCCATTGTTGCAATGAGAGGGAGGGTTTGAGAAAAGATGATTTTTCAGGCAGGATTTCAATCCATCTATAGTTGATTGCTGATTGTGTTATAACCTCAATTTACGTATTTGTATATTTGTGTATACACATAAGCATACACATGTATACACACATACACATGTATACTCACAGAACACATGGACTGCAGTTATACATTTCACATATAAAATATATGATCTTCATAGACAGTTGTCCCTGGATATCCGTGAGGGATTACTTCCAGGACCCACCCTCCCAATGTCAAAATGTGAGCATGCTCGAGTCCCTGGTATAAAATAGTATAGCATTTGCATATAACTTATGCACATCTGCCCACATGCTATAAATCATCTCTAGGTTACTTATAATACCTAATATAAACATTAATGTTATATTAATAGTTATACTTTCTTCTGTAGCTGGTGTTTTGAATAAAATAAGAATAAAAAAATTTAAATAAAATAGTTGTTATATTGTATTTTTTATTTTTGTATTGTTATTTTTTTTTCTTTTGCCAAACCAGAAAATGCTGAAGTGTATTGTTATTTTTGATTGTTTTTTTCCACAAATATTTCCAATCCACAGTTAATTGGATCTGAGGGTGCAGAATCCGCATATTCAGAGGACAGTTATCTATACAGTTGTATAGACAAGCTCACCCTGTGCTAGGCCTGATGTTAGCTAAGAGCCCTTTGGCTTTAGAGTATGAGAAGCAGAGCTAGAATCGCTTATATCTTATCATGTCTATGTCTCCCTTTTCCTCACTTAGGTGTGGTTTCAGAACCAAAGATCTCTGTATCCTGAGCAAAGCCCATGGGAGCCCTTGGATCTCTCAATAATTGGCCCAAACTGGAGACCAGATCTGACTCTTCAGCAGCAACAAATCGACATGTCTTCTCTCTCAGACAGGTCTCCTCATTTTCCCTCCACCAATGCTTTCAGCGGGAACGAAACATTTATGCCTGTTCATCTTCCATTCTGTGAGTACTCTGTTCCTCAGGATCCCTTCAGGGTCTGTTTGAGCCAAGGACCAGATGTCAGGATTACGCAGCCCACACAAGCTGTGCAGGAAGGAGAGGACTCTGACCAATCTCTGACACCTAGGAGTCACTTGCCAACATTGTCAACTCAGGGAGAGGACTTCTCAGATACTCAGACTCCTTTCCCATCTCCATTCCAAGAAGAATACCCAAATCACGAAGAACACAGTGGCACCAGTGTACAGTTAGAAGGCTATCGGCAGCCTCAACCTAAGCACAAAGAAAAACAATGTTGGTATCTGGGTCCTGAGAATGACATACCTTACATTGTGCAGTGGTGGGATGAGATCTGCCAGGCTCTGATTGCAGAATGGGACCCTCTCAAAGGGACACACTGAGATGGACTTGTGACAGCAGCAGGCAGAGTAGGAGGAGAGCCATTTTAACCACTCATCCAACCGCACCAGCAATGTAGAAACCTCGAGCCTTTAGGTCAACTCTTGTCACCTACAAATTTTCAGTAAAAGGTATGCTCTTTTCTGAATCCCGAGTTGCAGGAAGAGGACCCTCCAGGACTCCAAACACCCTTCAATGAGGGTGACTTTCAGGCTCTGTTCCAAAACTGCAAGGTTCACCAGGGCCTGAGCTCCAAGAGGAGGAAGATGTCATACTCAGGACCCTGGTCCAGATCTCCTTTCTTCTGAGGCAGAATTAGTACGATTTAAAGGATGGCAAACAACAAAGACATCCTGTCCTGGAACAAGACTAACACAGGGGGAGAAATAAACTACTTGGAGCTTTTTGTACTGTGTGTGGGCAGTGATTATCTTCTTTACCCACTTCATGGAGTAAAAGATTGTTTCAAAGTTCCACCCTGCCTTGGGAAGCACCGATAGCACAAGGCAGTGGACACGTCTGCTGAATCCTTCCAAACAAAAGCATTTTCCTGACAAACATGACCTCCTGCTTGTAATCACACCCTCTCCAGTCTGGAGAATCCATGAACTCTAACCCATCTGATGTGAGGAAAACAGGTCTACCCGAGACACGTAGGAATTTCATCCCTTCTGACGAGGTGGAAGGGCAAACTTGAAATGAATTTGATGTGTAGAAAATGAGGGAATAGGGAATACTGTATTACTTGATGAGGTGAACTCAAAAAGTAAACTTTCACGCCCAAGTTCTGAAGGTTTGAATTGGGAACTTGAAACTACTTCAGCATCCATAAATAAGGAAATGATTAAATAGATGAGGATATATTCATAATATACTGACTATTCCTCACTCATAAATGTATTTTTTCCCTTTGACTTTCATAATATACGAAAAGTTACAAGGAAATCATAACACCAGGTAGTCACTGAATATAGTCGAATGATAATATTTCTACTTTGGGGTTTTTTTTCATATGAATTTACATATGCGTATGTGTGCACATAAAATTCCTCACTTTATTATAAATAAAGTATATGTTAACTTAAAACCTCTGGGGTAGTCATCCTTATTCTCAATCTCCCTCCCTTTGAAATGATAACTTCTAAAAATACATTACAGTGCATGAAGGTGTGTGTGGGTTCACCTTGGTACAATAAAAATATCTTTGAACAATATTACTGCTTTGTTTTTCTTATCAATGTGCATTCTGTTCCATTATACAGTTCTTTCAGTTCCATATGCAGGTGCTAGAATGAGGTCAGTACACATAGACCTAGTTGTACAAAGATACTAGTGTTGCACTCCTACAAACAGTTGTAGAGCAGACATCCTTCCTGGTGTCTGCTGGATGCATTATGTGTAAGAGGCACTGTAGCACACATTGCCAGAATATTCCAACATCAGTATTGCCAAACTATCCTCAGTAGAAGTTGTTGCCCCTGTTATGAACTGTACCTTCATTATTAAAGACGGTGTCCTTTCCCCAGTGTCTAGTTTTGGTGTCTTATCCCATATCAGTTGGCTATAAATATGTGGATTTATTTCTGAGTCCTCTCTTCTGTTCCAATGATCTCTGTGTTTTTTTATATCGATACCATGCTGTTTTGGCAGTACATTTTGAAGTGAGGTACTGTGATTCCTCCAGCTTTGTTCTTTTTGCTCAGGATTGCTTTGGTTATTCTGGGTCTTTTGTGGCTCCATATGAATTTCAGGATTGTTTTTCTATTTCTGTGAAGAATATCATTGGTATTTTGATAGAGACAGCATTGAATCTGTAGATTGCTTTGGTGTAGTGTGTAGTATGGTAATTTTACCAAAATTCATTCTTCTGAACCATGAACCATTCTTTACACTTTCTTGTGTTTTCTTCAGTTTCTTTTATCACTGTTTTGCAGTTTTCCTTGTAGAGATCTTTCCCTTCCTTGGTTAAATTTATTCCTAGATACTTTTTTGTAGGTATTGTAAATGGGATTGCCTTCTTGATTTCTTTTTCAGGTGGTTTGTTGTTCACACATAGAAACGCTACTGATTTTTATATATTGATTTTGTATCCTATAACTTTACTCAATGTGTTCATCAGTTCTAAGAGTTTTTTGGTAGCATCCTTAGGTTTTTCTAAATATAGGATCATGTCATCTGCAAACAGGGACAATTTGACTTCTTCCTTTCCAATTTGGATGCCCTCTAATTCTTTCTCTTGCCTAATTGTTCTGGCTAGGACTTCCAGTACTATGTCGAGTCAGTGTGGTGGTGAAAGTGGCATCTTTGTTTTCCAGTTCTTAGGGGAAAAGCTGAAAGCTTTTCCTTTCAGTAAGATGTTAGCTGTGACTGTGGAGAGGTGTTGACATGGCCCCAGGGATGTGGAGATTCAGTGATTATTGGGGCCCAGGGCAGGATGTAGTCTGGTGTTGGCTTTGCTCTCAAAATGGCAGCGGCTTGGGCCTGGGGGATGGGTGACACCCAGCCTGAGTTCTCACTCCAGGCCCCGCCTATTTTTTTTTTTTTTTTTTTTTTTGTGACAGATTCTCGCTTTGTTGCCCAGGCTAAGGTGAGTGCCGTGGCGTCAGCCTAGTTCACAGCAACTCGAAAACTCTGGGTCAAGCAATCCTGGTGCCTCAGGCTCCCGAGTAGCTGGGAACTACAGGCCATGGCCACCATGCCCTAATATTCATATATATTAGTTGGCCATTAATTTCTTTCTATTTAGTAGAGACAGGTCTGCATCTTGCTCAGGCTGTTTCGAACTCCTGACCTCGAGCAATCCCGCCGGCCTCCCAGAGTGCTAAATTAAGTGGTGAGCCACCGCGCCGGCCCCGCCTATCAATTTTGTTAATCCTAAAAATCCAGCTTTTGGCCAGTTGCAGTGGCTCACGCCCTTAATCCTAGCACTTGGGGAGGCAGAGGCGGGAGGATCACTTAAGACCAGGAGTTTGAGACCAGCCGAATAAGGCGAACCTATTCTAGTAACAATAGAAAATAGCCAGACAGGTGGCGATAGGCCTATAGCCAGCTACTCCAGAGGCCGAGGCAAGAGGATCGCTTGAGCACAGGAGCTTGAGGTTGCGAAGCGGTTATCAACCACGTCACTCCAGCGGAGTTCAGAGCTTAGACCCTTTGATCTTAATTTTAAAAAAAAAATTTTTTTTTTTTAAGAAACGGGCATCTTGGGCCTTGTGGGTGAGGCTCACGCCTGTAATCCTGCCAACTCTGGAGGCCAAGGCGGCGATTGCTTGAGGTCGGGATGTGAAACCGAGCCTGAGCAAAGCGAGACCCGTCTCTACTATAAATAGAATAAATTAATTGGCCAATAATATATATAGGAAAATATAGGCCAGGCAGGTGGTGGCATGCTGTAGTCCCAGCTTCGGGACTGAGGGCAGGAGGATGCTGAGCCCAGGGTTGAGGTGCTGTGAGTAGGCTTGTGCCACGGCACTCACTCTAGCGTGGAAAAAGCAAGACTCTGTCTCAAAAAAAAAAAAGAGAAAGAAAGAAAGAAAGAAGGGATCTTGCTATGTCCTCCCGGGCTGGAATGCAATGCCGCTATTAGAGCTCACTGCAGCCTAGAACTGGGCTCAGTGCTGGGATTACAGGCGTGAGCCACCACACCCTACCACTCCAATCTCATTATGTCCTTTCTTCTGCTTTGTATTCATCTGTTCTTCATTCTCTGGTTTTTTAAGGTGGAAGCGGAGGTCATTAATTTGAGACTTTTCTTCTGTTTTAATGTAGGCATTTAGATCTATAAATTTCGGTGTTGGAGCTTTCATTTTTATTCCAATCTAAATACCGGTTTTATTTAGTAATGGATATATAAACCACTGGGAACCAGCCATGACCATTTCAAAGTCCCTGTCCTCTAAGGGCGTACTGAACCACTGTCATGCGCAAACGTGTGACGATGGGCTGGGCTCAGCACTCAGACTGCCGGAGTCAGAAAGCTGACTCAGCGCTCTGAACTATTCTGCCTCAAAGGTCCTCAGCTCTAAAATGGGGATAGCATTAGAGGTTGCGGATGCTAAATGAATGGTAGATAGGATTTTTAAAGGTGGGTTCTGTAAATTAATCCAAAAAATCTCAACTAGGGTGGAGGAGAAGGTGTGATTAGGGTGGCACCTGTGAGTATATATAAATACCAGTAATTCTGCTCTAGAATTCGTCATCTTGGATGAAGTTGGAGAGACCCTGACCCAGAGAGTCCACATGGCTTCTCACGGTGAGTACTTTTGGTGGAGAACTCGTTTCTTTGTAAGACTGTTTTTGTGAATATTAGGGTTTCGTATGGTCTAATCTTTTACCTTTTAGTAGGAAGAGTTATGGCCAGTTAGTAACACTGGTGCTATTCACTTGGTTTGGTCTTGGGCATTGGGGTTTTCAGATGGGACTAGGCATTTGAAAATCAAACCCAATTGTGGTTGAGATTTATGAAATCGTTTAACTTTTAGCTAGACATACAGAAATACCTACAGATCAAATTAATTCTGTAAAAAGGTAAAAAAAAACTTTTTTACCTTTTTAGGGGGAAGTTAAAATGGATGGGGTCTCTAGCAAAAAGATTGGTCATGTACTAACAGTTATTAAAGCTGAGTGATTTTGTTGGTTTCATTATACAATTCTATTTTGTGTATGTATAAAATTTTACATTAAAATTTTTTTTTTTCAGAGTCTCACTCTGTTGCCCAGGCTAGAGTGCCTTGGCGTCAGCCTAGCTCACAGCAACCTCAAACTCCTGGGCACGCGATGCCCCCACCTCAGCCTCCCAAGTAGCTGGGACTACAGGCATGTGCCACCATGCCCAGCTAATTCTTTTTTTTCTACATATTTTTAGTAGTCCAGCTAATTTCTTTCTATTTTTAGTAGAGACGGGGTCTCGCTCATGCTCAGGCTGGTCTCCAACTCCTGCTCTAACGATCCAACCGACTCAGCCTCCGAGAATGTTAGGATTACAGGCATGAGCCACCTCACCAGGCCTTGTTTTGGCTATTTCCAAGCCTCTTGAATTTCCATATATGGCACTGATGAACAAAACATCAAAGTTTTAAATAATAACAGGATCCAACCCCTGCCCTAGCACTAACCTGCTTCATTCACCTCACCTTATCTGAGCTGGGGTTCCAACAAATTTATTTACAGTCAATAGTTGCCAATTTGCATTAAAATAGCATTTATCTTGACAGTTGAGTTTTTTGGCAGTCCCAGGTGACTCACCTCACTTAGCCACAGCCCTGCTTGGCATTCCACCTCAGACAAGCCATCCTCTGTTTACTATCTCACCTTGCCTCCTCTCCCTCTCCCACTCAGACCTTATACTTCATTCATATCCTTGCTGTTTCTGGGACATGCCAGCCTTGCTCGTGACTCAGGTGTTATGTATCAGTGTTTAACACCGGGTACTCAATCCGCGAATATTTGTTGTTTTAATTCACTCATTTGAAAAATGGTTAGAGTAGGACTCCCTTATAAAGTGAGTTTTGAACAAACACTGGGAGAAAGGAGAGGTGAGCCGTGAAATCTTGGGAGGAAGAGGTGGAGACTTTCTCTGGAATAGAGAAAAACCTGGGTGGAAATGCCTGGAGGGAGACGCCCTGAGGTGTCCATGTGCAAGCAGGAGGCCGATGTAACTGGAGGGCACTGAGTGAGCATTGTCCTATTTGGAAATGGTGTCAGAAAGAAAAAGTGGGGAAGGTACAGATTGAGTGAGGCCTGAAAGGCTATTAAAAAATAAACTTTTTTTGTTTGTTTTTCTTTTTGTTTTGAGACAGAGTCTCGGCTCTGTTGCTACGGCTAGAATGCTGTTACGTCAGCCTAGCTCACAGCAACCTCAAACTCCTGGGCTCAAGTGATCCTCCTGCCTCAACCTCCCCGAGTAGCTGGGACTACAGGCATGCGCCACCATGCCCGGCTAATTTTTTCTATATATTTTTTGTTGTCCCGCCAATTTCTTTTTTTCTTTTTTTCTTTTTTTTTTTTTGAGACAGAGTCTCTCTTTGTTGCCTGGGCTAGAGTGAGTGCCGAGGCATCAGCCTAGCTCACAGCAACCTCAAACTCCTGGGCTCAAGCAATCCTGCTGCCTCAGCCTCCCCAGTAGTTGGGACTACAGGCATGCGCCACCATGCCCAGCTAATTTTTTCTATATATATTAGTTGGCCAATTCTTTTCTTTCTACTTATAGTAGAGACGGGGTCTTGCTCTTGCTCAGGCTGGTTTTGAATTCCTGACCTCGAGCGATCCTCCCACCTCGGCCTCCCAGAGTGCTAAAAATAAACTTTTAATTGAAATACAGGGCACATGCCAAAGAAAGCACATATCCATGTGTGTTTATTTCAATGAATTTTCACAAACCAACCACACTCATGGAACTGGCATTCAGGAAAGAGAATATGGCCGGCACCCAGAAGCCTACTTCCTGCTTCCTTTCAGGCTCGAGCTCCCTTCCCTTTAGTGGCCCATACCTTGCCTTCAAAGCAGTAATAGATTAGTTTTGCCTGTTTTCATATGTTAGAGTAATGGAATGATTAAATATTTTCCTACAGTACTAGTTTTAAAGATAAAGTCTCTAATCCCCCTGGTAAATATGTTAAGCTGTGTGGACCACAGACAGATTTTAGCCTTAACTACTCAATTCCACACTTGTAGCTTGAAAATAGCCATAGACAATAAATAAGTGAATGGATGTGGCTGGTGTTTCCGTAAGACTATATTTACAAAAACAGGCAACTACTCAGGCCCATAGTTTGCTAGTCACTGCTTTCATTTGTAATTTTATCATCGTGAGTGGCTGTGAGGTCAGGCTTTGGTTTTATTTTTAGTTGGAGTAGCCAATTGTGCTAACACTGGAAGTCTTCTTTGGTTTGGTTATTACCAGTATGCTTCAATGCTCTTCTCTCTACTTATGCTTGCCAGGTTTTTCAGATGAAGAGAATGGTCATAAGGAAGAAATAGAAGGAAAGAAAAAAAGAAAAACAAAACAACGACATAAATTTACTATGGAACAACTGCAAAAACTTAAGGAAAAATTTGCACAATACCCTTATCCTGATTTTACAACCAAAGATGATTTGGCCAAAGACTTCCATTGTCAAGTGAACGTCATTGATGTAAGTTCAAGACCTCATATGCATGTTTACTAGAAAATTAAAGGGCAACAAGTATAAATGGAGGTAGGAGCCTGGGGATTGGATGGGAAGGCACAAAATTCAGAAATGGGAGAGATATCAAAACATATTAAAAATCAAAATATTTATAAATAGGTAAATATACATTCTTATAGCATTATATATTTTGTTTACATGTCTGAATTTCTGACTATTGGGTTTGTCAATTTCAATACTGCCTTTTTTTTTTTTTTTTTTTTTTGAGACAGAGTCTCGCTTTGTTGCCCAGGCTAGAGTGGTGCCATGTCGTCAGTAGCTCACAGCAACTCAAACTCTGGGCTCAGCAATCCTGTCTGCCTCCCCCCCCAGTAGCTGGGACTACAGGCAATACCGCACCATACACGGCTAATTTTCTATATATATTATGGCATTAATTTCCTTTCTATTTATATAGAGACAGGAGGTCTCGCTCTTGCTCCAGCTGGTTTTCGAACTCCTGACTCGAGCAAATCCCGCCACCCTCAGCCTCCCAGAGTGCTAGGATTACAGGCGTGAGCCACCGCGCCCGAGGGCTCAATACGCTTTTTAATCATTCGGTAGTATCAAGGGCAGGCTTATAAAAGGAGTTCATGGAACTGTAGCATAGTATCAAGCTGATGTTGTTCAGAAAGGACCCTGTATGTAAACGGAAGACTGGGAAAAGGAGCATAGGATCTGTGATGTGAGAAAGTGGCACCTTGCTTCCTTATTGGATTTCATGAGATGATTAATGGATTAATGGGTTATTAACGGAAGTGGACTGGTGTTTAATCTACTTGATCCATTAAGGATTATTAGTTCATGTAAGCAAGCAGCCTCATGAGCTAATCACCTTTAAAGCCCCACCTCTCAATAGCCACATTGGGGATAAGTTTCAACATAAGTTTTGGAGAGAACTCAAACCTGTAGCACTCTGCACCTCAGAACATTATTTATAAATATGTACAAATTTACCATCCTGGACTTCTCAGGAGAAAACTGAAGTATGTTTGGAGGCACCTGCGCTTTCATTATGCATAGTCCATATTTTTTCAAATATATCTTGTGTGTGATCAAAGAATCTTTGTAATTCCAGGCTACTAATAGCCTAAAGCGTTTCTGAAGTTGGTAGCACAGGACAAGGAAATATAAAACAAGAGGTTTTTATTTTGCAATAACTGACTTATTGTCTGATCTATAAGAATATCCTTCTTATTCAAACTTCGGCTTATAGACGAGCTTGGTAATAAAGCATTTTTCTCAACTCTACCTCCTTCAAAGCTGGTAACTTGGATATTATTATTCTATTTTATGAGGGAGAGAAATGAGGATTTGATAAGTTGATATGAAATAGTTAGGGTTGTGTGGATATTCTAAAATATAGTTTTGTCCTTCAACCCTGTTTCTTGCATACAAACTCCTAAAATCCTTAATCTGCAAAGTGGATGTTTTGTATGCTAATGAGTTGACTAATGGCTAACAGCTCTAGTCAGCTCAGATGAGACTGGTCCATCAGGAAGACCAAGGCATGATAGAGAGTTGGGATTTCGCCCAGCCCCACTTGGGAGAGGAGAGGTGAAAGTTAAGTTGATCACACGTGCATGTGTTTAATCAATCATGCTACATAAAAACCCTCCATAAAAAACCAACAAGGACTGGGGTGCAGAGAGTTCTAGATAGCTGAACACATGGAATTCCTTCAGAAGTGAGTATGTCCAGGGGGCATCTTATATCATTTATCATATCCTTGTTTTAAACGTAACATGTTTCATCTGAGTTCTTGAGCTTTAGCAAATATTGAACCAAAGAGGGGTGTGGACATGATTGGCTGGTTGATCAGAAGTTCAGAAGCCTGGTATGACTGGTCGATGAAGGGGCATCCTGTGGGACGAGCCCTTCAACCTGTGGATGTCATATCTCCAGGTAGATAGTTTCAAATTGAATTGGAGACACCAGATAGTGTCCACTCGAAATAAAATTGCTTGCTTGGTGTGTCAGGGGAACACACACACAAATTGCCTGACGAAGTTTCTGTGGATTGTTGAGGTGTGGAACAGACGGAAAATGCTTTGTGTTTTTCCCCCTTAGAGGACATATATAGCAAGTATATGGTCCAAACATAGTCAAAAATTGCTTTCTTACTGTGACCTTTGAACCCAAGGCATTGTAAGAATCATGACCATATAAGAAAGAGAATATAGGTGTCAGAAGCACATCATTATTCACCCTGGTTGGGATAGGCATGGAGCAGAATAGCAGGGCTGTGGGAATGAGTGCATTGTCTTAGTGTGACAGCTGAGAGCTAGTCTGTAGGTTAGAGTGAGTCTCCTCGTGAACAAGAAAAGAGAAGACTGGCAATGTGTCATTACAGGTTGGGAGAGTTCTTGTTTGCATGTAAAACATTAGTCACTTATTCCCCTTCCAGGGAGGAGGTTAATAGTCTAGAAATTATGCAGTGTATACCTCTGAATTCATATTGTGCAGTCCTGCAGCCTTTGTGTTTATGGCCTACTTAATGGAAGAGCAAGGTCAGGGACTTGTGGGAGAGAATTATAGAAATCCTCCTATGTCGGTTGGTTGATGCAGTGTTTACAATAATTGATTACAACCAGTTACAGATTCTTGTTCCTTCTCCACTCCACTGCTTCATTGACCAAGCTTTAAAATTATTTAAAAATGTTTATATTAAACATCCTCCTACATCAAAAATGATTGAGAATATAATTTATAAGCATTTGAGTCAAAACAATATTATCTTTTCCTTTAGAACTGGGTTCAGATATAGAGCCAACTTCGCTGAGGAGAGAAGGAGACTATTTCAGTTTTGGGGAAACAAAATTCCAAGCAACCTCCACTTTCAGCCTCCGGATACCCAAGCTGCAGTCCCAGCTATGACGCAGCAGAGCTTCCTGTTCCCAGAAGGTTCTGATGGGTAGAGTAGTTGCTCCTCTCTGGATGAAGAGCAGGGGGTTCCAGTCACGAGCAGATTCTGTTGTCCTATATGGGCCAAGGCACTAAAAAGCAACCAGGTGGTTTTGTGAGGATCAAGTGACACGAAAGTGGGCATTCTCCTGCCCATCCTTTTCTAAGTATAGCTCAATAACTACCTTGCTCCTCTACTCTTCTTGCTTATATGTCGAAAAGACTGAACCAGAGAAAGCCAGCTGCAAGATTTTTTGTATTCATATCATGGTCTGAGGAGGTGGAATGAGAAAGCAGCAGAAAAGAAAGAATGTTCGTCATTATTCATATTGCAAGGACAGCAGCAGAATGATTGGCACTTCATTGAACAGCACCAACAGCCTCAGAATATCAAGACAGGCAACCCAGGCTGAAGGCAGCAGCCACCACCGGTGGTCTCTGGGGAAGAGGTGCCAGTGGGCTTCTATCACCCAGGGCTCCAACGCACAGCACCACCATGTCTCTGGAATACATGCACCAGTGGGCTTCCTATCAACCAGGCTCCACGCACAAGCCACGTGCTGTCTCTGGCAGACGTGCTCCAGGGCTTGGAGAACCAGGCCCAAGCACAGCCACCACTGCTGTCTTGGGCAGACGTGCTCCAGGGGGCTTCGGAGAACCCAGGGCCCCACGCACGCCACACTGCTGTCTCGGCAAGGTGCATCAGGGTGGAGCAACCAGCCCAAACGCCACAGCCACCACTGCTTCTCTGGGCAAGACGTTGCACCCAGGTCGGAGCAACCAGGCCAACGCCGAAGCCACACTGCTGTCTCTGGACAAGAGGTGCATCAGGGGCTCGGAGCAACCCATGGCCCAATCGCCGCAGCACCACTGTGTCTCTGGTGACAAGAGGTGTCAGGGGGCTTCGGAGAACGCAGGCCCAAGCCACAGCCTACACTGCTGTCTCTGGGGTCAAGACGTGCTGCAGGGGTTCGGAGCAACCAGGGCCCCAAGCCAGCCAACCATGCTGTTCTGGGGCCAAACGTGCTCAGGGGCTTCGGAGCAACCAGGGCCAACGCCACAGCCACACTGCTGTCTGGGCAAGAGTGTCAGGGGGCTTCGGAGCAACCCAGGCCCCAAGACAGCCACACTGTGTCTGGGCAAGACGGCTCCAGCTTCGGAGCAACCCAGGGCCCAACGCCACAGCCACCACTTGCTGTCTCTGGGACAAGACATTGCCACCAGGGGCGTTCGGAGCGACCCAGGGCCGCCAACGCCACAGCCACCATGCTGTTTCTGGGCAGACGTGCTCCAGGGCTTTGGGCAACAGGGCCACGCCGCAAGCCACCATGCTGTTTGGCAAGAATGCACCAGGGCTGGAGACCCAGGTCCGTGCATTAGCCACACTGCTGTCTCTGGGACAAGAGGTGCATCAGGCTTCGGAGCAACCCAGGGCTCCAATGGCATCAGCACCACTGCTGTCTCTGGGGCAAGCGTGCTCCAGGGGGCTTCGGAGCACCAGGCCAACGCCGGCGCACCATGTTTTCTGGGGGCAAGACTGCTCCAGGGGGCTTCGAGCACTCCAGGGCCCCAACGGCCGCAGCACCTGCTGTTTCTGGGGGAAGAATGGTTCCAGCTTCGGAGCAACCCAGGGCCCAACGCCGCAGCACCACTGCTGACTCTGGCAAGACGTGCTCCAGGGGGTTCGGAGCAACCAGGGCACCTAACGCCGCAGCACCACTTGCTGTTTCTGGGGCAAGATGCTCCAGGGGCTTCGGAGCAACCCAGGCCCCAACGCCGCAGCACACTGCTGTTTCTGCTGGGCAAGACGTGCACCAGGGGCGTTTGGAGCAACCCAGGGCTCCAGGTGCATCAGCCCCACTGCTGTCTCTGGACAAGAGGTGAGTCAGGGGCTTCGGAAAGCAACCCAGGGCCCAACGCCGCAGCACCACTGCTGGTCTCTGGGGCAAGACGTGCTCCTGGCTCGGCAACCGGGTCCAACACCGCAGCACACTACTGTTTCTGGGGCAAAGCGTGCTCCAGGGGGCTTTGGGCAACCCAGGGCCCCACGCCCGAGCCACCAC